GCGGGCTATGGACCCGCCGATCGCCTATATGTGAAACACCCGGTAACGGGTGTGTGCATTTAGCGGGTCTTTTCTGCCCGTGCGTGCCCGCTAGGGGGCGCGCGCGAGCAGAAAAAAATTGCCGTCTGGAGACGGCAACCCGCAGATGCTGCAGTGCCGTCCGTCCGTTTTTTTACTACGGGCGGACGGCAAGAGGTTAAGACAATTTCATGGATTCCGACACTATAGGCTCTCTGATACTTGATCCAGCTGAAGATGATTATTGATCGAACTGCCAAGCAGAAGAACCCTGGGATATGCTGCACTGGGGATTCCACAAGGCTTTTAAAAAGTCAAATCCAGGTACATTTTGTAAAAATACATTTCTTATTTTTTTATTCAATACATAAAACTGCATTAAATGGAGTTTCTGGCTAGAGATCAGCTTTAAAAATTCATGATCATTCTTCACAGTATGTACTTACAGTAAATTTATGGGGGTTTTGGTCCATTTTTACTCTGCTTCCAGAAAGGTACTGCCATGCCCGGCCACGAAGTGATGGTGGTATTCCCTTGTGACACCTCAGTTTTATCTACAGAACAAAAACGGTTACTGTTAAATGTCCTAATTGATCATAAATGTCCCTGAGCAATAATCAGAGCTGTAATAACCCATGTACTAAGATTAACATGATCAATGCATTCCAAAGAAGTTGTACAACATACTGAAGAGCTCTGAATCATCTTATGCAAGGAAGCATCACAGACAGTTCTGCCTTCCTCAAGAGCCAATATAAAGTAAACCTGTCAAAACATGTGCCAATTCACACAGATGATGAAAAAAAGAAATTTGTCCCAAAGGTGTTGTATCGGGTTGTGTGCAGGCCAGTCAAGTTCCTCCACCCCATTAATCCCCCCTCCACCAAACTTTACACTTGGCACATTGCAGGCAGGCAAGTAACATTCTCCTGGCAACCACCAAACCCAGACACGTCCATCGGACTGCCAGACAGAGAAGCGTGATTCGTCACTCCAGAGAACACGTCTCAGCTTCTCTAGAGTCCAGTGGCGGCGTGCTTTACACCACTGCATCCGACGCTTTGCATTGCACTTGGTGATGTAAGGCTTGGATGCAGCTGCTCGGCTATGGAAACCCATTCCAAGAAGCTCTCAACACACTGCTGATGTGCCATTTGAAGGCCACACCAAGTTTGGAGATCTGTAGCTATTGACTCTGCAGACAGTTGATGACTTCTGCGCACTGTGCGCTTCAGCATGCGCTGACCCCGCTCTGTCATTTTACATGGCCTCCCACTTCGTGGCTGAGTTGCTGTTGTTCCCAGTTGCTTCCACTTTGTTATAATACCACTAACAGGTGACTGTGGAATATTTAGTAGCAAGGAAATTACACGGATGGACTTATTGCACACGTGGCAACCTATCACGCTACCACGCTTGACTTCACTGTTCTCCTGAGAGCGACCCATTCTTTCACAAATGTTTGTAGAAGCGTCTGCATGCCTAGGTGATTGATTTTATACACCTGTGGCCATGGAGGTGATTGGAACACCTGAATCCAATGATTTGGAGGGGTGTCCAAACACTTTTGGCAACATAGTGTATGTCCAAACAATCAGTACAAACCGTAATGCTGGGCACACACCTTACAACCATCGCAAGACTTTGTCTTGCGATGGTTGTAAGGTACTTTAAAAAACGTACGATCTGCCTATCTTGGACAGGCAGATCGTACTTGCTATGAGCGCAAGCCGCGCCCCCGAGGGTCGGGCTTCCGATGACCGCAATGCCGAACGGGCAGTATGCGCTGGCGCACACCGGCCCGTCTGGCTTTTATCTTACGAACATGCAAGACTAGAAAATATTAACAGTCCACTAAGCTAGTTTACACTGCAGGTAATAAACCTTGTAAGTACAAATACCTTGTAAGTACAGAAGATAAATAAATTAGTGAATAAACCATATGGCTTTATTATAATCATTATTATAATTATATGCCGTTATAAAGTAGTTTATATAACAGGCTGCTTTTACTTTACAATGACACTAGGCATGTGAAGCAAAACTTGCACCCAGATGAGTACATTAAAAAAGAATTACTGTGAATAATCATGTGCAGGCAGACTCCTACACCCCCCGTTATCCTTTCTTTGTGTCTCCTCTGTGTTTTTGTGCAAAGGGATATCATAATGAGAGTGGTCTCTCTTGTATTCATAGCTTTCCCTGACTGAAGTCTGGAACATGCCCATCACTGGGACTGTGGAAATACTTTGTACACAATCTGACCAGTGCTGGATCAGCAGACCGGGATCTTGTAATTCTAGCTCTGGTCCGGAGTGGGCAGAATGAGCAGCTTCAGCACTGCGTGGATGCCATGGCTATGAAGTAACTACAAAACACAAATGTGCTAAAAAGTAGGAATGTAATGTAAAAAATAAAGGGTAATTATCTTTTATTACTTAATTATTACTTAAAGTGACAATATGAACCAGCAAATGAAATTCATTAAAAATAGAGTAAAAGGATTTTCACTTGTCTGTATGGTAACTTTACAGGTTACCGTCACATATTCTAACAGTAAATGTGACATTTGTGGGCTTCATAGCAGCGTCTGAAGGTGTGACATTACCAGACGCTTTTCCCCAAACTTAAAAGCTCTGCTTTGACTTTCATCTATGGCCTTCAGCTACAATAAATAGATTGGGTAATAAAGTAATTTTATGTTGCATTGCTCATATCTGCGGTTTGAAAATGGGCTTCAGGTCTTCGACTGATTTACAAAGTAGTTTGGTTAGCTGTCTAAAAACCATAGCGCATTTCCTTCAAAGTGCGTGGTCAGAGACATAATAAAGAACTGAGAAATGTTTGTCTAGATGCATCACTGCACTGCAGTCTTTAAGTATAACATAGACCAGTGTCTATCTTTGCCTCCGATCTTCTACAGACGTCAGTCAGCTAAAATTACAAGCGGCAGGATTAAACTTGTATATGAGCATCTAGTTCCCAACAATTACTGAAACAGCAGGAGATCAAACCACAGACGGTGGTCTATACACCATATAGGTCTTGGCTCAGCAGAGCTGTGCATGTGATGGCATGTGAAAAATGCTTTTACCAGTGGTATTCTACATAACCCTGTATGTCAAGAAGGAGGCTGAAAAGCTCACAACTTTAAAATGATGATGCTTGCTGTGAGAGTAGGTAATGGGTATTACCAGTGTTAAGTGCGTAATACTACAGAATATTCATATTGTTTAATAGGATATATTCAGCCTTTCCCCAGCCAAAAGCATCTGACCCAATTTTATCTGGTGTTACTGTGTGTGCTTAGTAAATTGTTTAACCGTTTGAATTTAGAACTCAAGGTTAATCAAGATGCTTTGTTCTTGATCTCTACACTTTTTCAGTGTACGTGAACTTGCTAGTCTTTCCAGCCAAACCGTGGCCCATTCTAATGATCCGCATAGGAAATTAATGTTGCTTAAACAACTTGAAAATAAAAGTATGTTTCAAAACGGCTGAAGGTGCTCTGCGAACACCCTAGCACAGGGGTAGGCAATCTCAGCGCGCCAGCTGTGGTGAAACTACAATTCCCATAATGACTCTGCGAATCACGCCTGTGGCTGTCAGAGTCTTGCAATGCTTCATAGGACTTGTAGTTCCCCAGCGGCTGGAGTGCTGAGGTTTGCTACCTTTTCCCTAGCATGCTGCACCAAGATAACTTGGGTTATACAAGACAGTACAGCATAAAACACACAAATCTACCTTTTTGTGCCGTTTTGCCATCCATTTATCCCAGTTTGAAAGCATGTCCAGCCATTTTACTTCCCTCTGTCGTAACACATCAACTGGCACCTCCTCTTCCCTGTGGAAAAAAAACACATTGCTTTGCTTTAAAAACACAACTAAGACGAGTTAATAAAAAGCAGAATATGCGATGCAGCCCAGAGCAGCCAATCAAAATTCATCTCTTATCAGTTACTGACAAATCAAGAATTTTGATTGGTCTCAAATGACTGCTGCACACACATATAATAATAATTTTACACACAAGACTTGTACTGTGACTGTTTAATTGCAGCTGTAATACATCTCACACATAGTAAAAGTAGAAGAGATGGGGTGGTGATATAAGACAGCATCTGGTATTATTGCATAATGAAAGGACGTGGCAGCCTGAGTAACATTAACATCTGTGGGGAGAAGGGGAACACAGGAGTCAAAACCAGTCCTATGAAATTAAAGTCATATCAAAAAGTAAAAAACAAAATGCAACATAGCAAAAAAAGTTCCAAAAGAAAAATGAGCAGACTGTTCCCACCTTAAGGTGCCCATACACTGTACGATTCTCGTACGAGAATCGCGGGAAATCCCGCGATCGTACGAGAATCGTACAGTGTATGGAAGGCGTGCGACCGTTTCTACTGTACGGTCGCACGTCTTCCATCGAACAAGCAGGCTGGAAAACCCGCCGGGAATCGTACGATTCTCGGCGAGTGGGTGGCCTGCTGGTTCGACAACTGACGAACAGGCCGGTGTGCGCACGCGCACACTGCCCGTTTGCCGTCCTTGCAAGCCCGCCCCTCATTGCAGTCATCGCAAGCCCGCCCCTCAAGGGGGCTGATATAAAACAGTTTTACTCACCTGATTCTCGGTTCCATAGCAGTCCGCACTCACCTCTCTCTTCCCCACCGCTCCAGCTATGGCATGTCCCCCCAGTGTCTAGACTACCACAGCCCAGGGGAGAAGAGGCTAAAGGGGACCAGTCTCGCAGCCTGGAGAGAAGCCAGCAGGACAGAGGATCTGCTTTGAGTCCCTTTAAAGCTCATCACTGGGCAAACAAGCATCTACCCTT